CAAAGCTTGAAAACAGATTAAAGATTTACTAGGCTAGGGGCTGTGGTGCCTGCCTGACAAGTACAAGATCCTAAGTTCAATTCCCAGTTTCAAAAAAAAAAAAAAAGATTTACTAGGCAAATATTTACCAAAACTTTGTAACAAAGTGAACTTTAAATCACAAAAAAAACACTGCATAATAAAATGATTTATTGAGAAAACTAACAATTACAAAATCTGCATCTAACAATAAAATTACTCTTAGTCAAAGGAATAACAAGGCAGTAAAGTTCTTATATTTTTATTAGAATGAAGATGAATGGAATTGAGTTCACTAAACATTGAAAATTTCCAAATAGTTAATGCAACTTCCAGACTTCATTAGATAAATTTGTTTTACAGAATTGTTAAGCCCCGAATCAGAAATGGAGTTCATTGCTTTGAAATAGAATGGGAAATACCTGGTATGTATTCACTATAATTAAAATGTTTAATTTACATTTGAATTTATATACACACATGCACATAAATATATTTGTATGTATAAGATGTGTGTGTGTGAAATAAAGGAAAAGAAACCTATCATATTCACCATGGATTAACCTTTCAGTTTATTGTGTTACTTTACATAGACTTTAACTAATAGTAAATATGATAATGTTAAGTGATTTTATTTTAATAGCCTAATTTGACATTTCTTTTGTAATGCTTAAGAATAGCAAAATAGTCTATATTTTTCAGAAAAATGCTTCTTATAAATGGTGTCATTAAATTTCATGTATACCTGGTTCTAAAGCAATTGAGGTTGTTGAGTAATACCTGGAGTATTCTTCCTTTTCTTTCTTTACTATTGTCAAATTAGTCCTAATTTACTACAGAGAAATACTGTGAATTCTGAATTCTCAAACGGTAAGCAAATAAGGCATAGATAATTTAAAATGAAAAATGATCCCAAAATATTGGCTTTGAAATTAGATTGTATATTTATATGAATAAGAGTAGATTCGTTCAATGAAAGCTCAAGCTGTATACAACTTTGAAAGAGAAAATTAATTAAAAATTAGATAAATCATTCTAAGCAATAATAGGAAGATAGGAGGCTAGAGAACTTTGAGAATTATGTAGGAACAGTACTACAAACTAATATATTTTCAGACATGAAATATTACCCTAATTTATTTATTTATTTATTTTTTTATTTTATTTTATTTGGTCTTTTTGAGACAGGGTCCCACTCTGTAGTTCAGGCTGGCTTTGAGCTCACTTTGTACTTACTTTGTAGCCCAGGCTGGCTTCAAACTCAAAATGATCCTCCTGCCTCAGCCTCCCAAGTGCTGGGCCACCACGCCCAGCTACCCTAATTTAGCAGCACATTTCCCCTCACTGGGGTTGAGGATCCGATGTCATTCCAATACCCCTTAAGGAGAAAATATACCCCAAGCTGCTTTAACTAATAAACACTATGATTGCTTATTTCCTTCATTTCTGCTTTAAACTTATCAATATTTTCATTATAATTTGCTTTTTATCTGTATATAGAATACAAGAATCTGGTTTACTGTTTATATATCATATTGTAAATTTACATGCAGACATTTTCATTATAAGTCTAGTAAGACTAAGCATATGCTCGAGAGAGTGGTAGCAGTTGCCTAATATGTGAGGCCCAGAGTTCAATTCTCAGCACCCAGAGAGAGGGGAGGGAGAGAGGGAGGGGGAAAGAGAGAGAGCAAGAAAGGGAGAAGGGGAGGACACCTCTGAAACTACAATCTAAAAAATGATAAAGTTTTTGATGACTCAGTTCGGTTCTTTGCAGAAGGCATCACTAAAGAATGTTGCTCTTGACCTCTTAGAAAATGTCTGTGCCACTCCTTATCCAAAATTTTAACACTTACTGTGTAAATTAAAGCCAATCAACCCTATCCAAAGAAAGTTTTCTGTTTTTAAGCTGTTGCTACTAGTTTTGTTTGTTTGTTTGGGGTCTTGTTTTTTGGGGCAGGGTGTTGCTATGTAGCTCAGGCTGGTGTTCTATGTAACTCATGGTGATCCTCCTGCCTCAGCCTCCTAACTACTGAGATTGTAGGTGTGTGCCACCATGACTGGCTCTGCTGCCACCTTTGAAGCAAGAGAATTTAAGAATTTAAACTTTTAATTTAAAAAGAATTTTCTTCCAATTTTGCCAGGCAAGAGAAAATAAATTCTGCACTATAACAGCAAACTCTGAGAATGCAGATGTTGAAAACAAGATTTGCAGTGAATTAACTAGTGTGGATGACTCAGTTTAGCTGGCAAACATAGTTACTTGGAAGAACTGATTTTTGAAACTTGTAACTAAGCCTGCTTTACTGTATTTTTAACCTTGTAGAACATTTTGCTATAGAACATGGAGAGTTGATTCTAACAGTTGAAGAAGAATCCTTGTTTGAAGCAGCTTATCCTGAGATTGTTGCTGTTTACCAGAAACAAAACTTAGAAACTAAAGGGAAGAAGCAAAAAAGTAAGTATTGGGTGGGATAACTAATTGCCTTTGTTATGGTTTGTGTCTGGGTGTCCCCCCAAAGCCTCATGCGGTCATGGGGCAGGCTTTAAGAGTTTGATTGATTATGGGTGTGAGACCTATACCACCCTGCTGTGGATAGTTTGCATATGTAAGGGAGAGAAAGAGGGTGCTTCTGGCCATTTCCTCCCTTGCCTGTGCTTGTTGCCTTGCTGTGTTCTGTCACCATGAGCTGTAGCCCTCTGCCATGTGCCACTCTGCCTTGTAATCTGCCAAGTAAGGACTGAAACCTCCACAAACTGTAAGCGAAATAAACCTTTCCTTCCTTAATTTTGGGCGTCAGGTATTTTGTCCCAGCAACGAGAGAAAAGTAACTGAGACAGCCTTTATATACTATCTTCAAAGCTAAAAAGCCAGACACATACCATTCTGCTCTGTGTCTACTAACTTAACCAAGTATTAATAATTTTACTAAGCAATTGTAGAGCTGCTGTTGTGTATAAAATATTTTTTATTTTAAATATATTTTCTTTGTTTCTTAGAACTGAATAAGAAAACAACTCAATTATATTATTGTTTCTAGAGGAAAATATTTCCAGGAGTGCATGGAGAAAAAAAGTAGCCAAAAACAGCTCATATAGAAGATTATTGAACTGAACTTCTTTTTAACCTGTTAAGAGAAAAATATTCATTTTATTTATGTACGTATATATTTATATATTATGTTATTTTCTTTTTAGATAAGAAAATTAAGCCTAAAGAAGAGAGTTTCCCAGAATCAGATGATGTAGTGAATTTTCCGTCACTGGTGACTTTAAAACCCACACCTAAAATGTTTCCTAAGCAAAATTCCAAGTTGAACTTGGAAATTTTTTCTGATCTTCCTTCACCACAGGAAACAATTTCTGCCTCTGTGACTAGCTTGCTTTTACCTGAAGATGCTCCCTGCTTGAATATGCAAGAAAAGTTAATGTCTTCCTCAAGACCTTTGCCTCTTCAGCAAATTAAAGATGCGTCTAGTAACTCTCTCAGTTTGGAATCTGGTCAACCTAGTCCTTTGTCTTGTGATACATCTGTGATTACTGATTTGAACTTGACCTCAATTGACTGGGAAGGGACTTCTTTTAGTAATTACCCAGCTATTCAAGGGAATGCTGTCTCCTCTGATTTACAGTCAGAATTTGAATCAAAGCTATTGGCCTCCCCTGGTGATTTTGAAAATATCCCAGAACAATCAAGATGGTACACCACAAACGTTAATAAAATATTGGATGAGCATCTTCAGAAGGTTAATCCTGAGCAGCATTTACTTTCTGGCATTAGTGATTTAAATCTTCAGGATTTGCCTTTAAAGGAACGTATATATATGAAATTATCATATCGAGAGGATAATGTGCAGTCAGATGTTGACCTGAAAACTTTGTTCCTACACAAGGTAAAAGAATCTCATCTTGCTAATAGTAGGTCTGATTGTCCAACACATCTTTCAAAGGATCTTCCTGGAATTAATTTGCAGAATGAATCCAGAACCTCTACAGTTATAAAAGGAGACCAGCTGCCTCAAGAAAACTGTAAAGTGAATACTTCTATACATCATTCTGTCAATAACCCAGTAAGGAAGACCTCCAGTATTAGATCTGGGCCAACAAATACTTCCTTAGAGCATAGTGGAAACATTGGTATGCATGCCACTCAAGAAATTGTCAAGAATAGTATTTGCTTTAACACATATTCCTCTGACCAAGAAGGTGGCCCAGTCTTTGGTAAAGCAAAGTACACAACTCAAAAAGTGAAACACAGCTCACAGAAACATGATCTGGCCCAGTTCAAAGAAAGTGACCGCAAGAAACAGACGAACGCTGCAGTTCATGCAGAAAAGGCTCAATTGGATGCCAGGCCTTACAAAACAACTGGAAACGAAAAGAATTTCTCAGATCCAGCAAAAAGTTCTCTGAGTTTTCTGCAGTGCCCTAAGAAAGACAGTGACCTTGGTACTCATTTGGATAGTCCTCTTCCTTTATGTCAGAGATTAAAACTAAGATTCCAAAACACTTGAAATGAAATTTAAAATATTTAAGTATAACTTTTCCTCATACTGTCAGCATTAGCAGAGGGAAGGTATCTAGTTAATGTTTGCTAGAAAAAAAATTTTTTTTGTCTTTTTGAGACAGGGTCTCGCTATGCAGTGCAGGCTGACCTTGAGCTCACTTGTAGCCCAGGCTGGTCTTGAACTCACAACGATCCTCTTGCCTCAGCCTCTTGAGTGCTGAGATTACAGGCATGTGCTACCATGCCCAGCAGTAGAAAAATTGAGTATGTATATGTCATGCAATATTTTTGTCATTTTATCAAAGTTGTAATTCAAAAATGTTAACCTAAAACTTTGGTTTTAAAAGATGCCCCCCCCCCATGGTGGTAATACATATTTTTAAAAAACATTTTTATCAGTTTTTAAATATCCTTATTGGTTATAGTTTTTAAATGTCAGTATGATGTTTGACAGAATAAACCCTTTAATTTTGCCCATAAAGTACTAAAAGCACTCGTTCTAATTGCTTATTTCCCCAAGGATATCCTGCCCAGTTGTCTTACACTGCCATCTGACAGAGGGGTTCTCTCAGTATAAAGGTTCCAGTGTTCCTACTTTGGTTATCTCTTCCTCCTTTGTGGGGGAAACACGAACAAGGAGAGAGGATGGTCAGTGCACAGGAAAACCCATGATCGTAATGGCTGAATAAACTAAGGAAATCATGCCTAGAAGTTCACAGGTATAGCAAGTGGAAAAGAGATTTGGAAAATTGAATGTACAAGCACAAAAGGATTAGAAACTTCCTTAATAATACCAGTTTTTTGCTTTCTGATTCCTTGGCTTTTCTGTTGGTTGGTTTTCCTAAGCGCTGTTTTCTTTCCCTTTTGCTGACTTTAGTAACTCCAGATACTAAGTCTTGCATAAATTTAGGCAGGCATTGTGGCACACACCTGCAATCCCAGCACAGTGGGAGGTTGAGTCAGGAGAACTGCAAGCTTAAACCGAGCCTGGGAAAGTTATCAATACTCTATCTCAAAATAAAAAATAAAAGGGCTGCAGGTGCTGGGGATATGGAGTGCAAAGGCTCTGGTTCAAACTCAGAACCATCCCAAAAATTTATTTAGTACTCAGAAATTCTACAGGGCATCCAGATTTGAAAAGAAACAATGCAACTGTTCCTATTTATAACTGGTGGATCCTGTGTATGGAAAATCCTAAGGAATCCATTAGAAAATATTTTAAAACTGGTTAAATCAGAACCTCAGTGAATGTAAACATACGCCATAAACATGAGCTAAGATTAATAATATCAACAAGAATGAAAATAGGGAAAAGAAAATTAAAGGTTAAAAAAGTTGTATTATGTACATGTACCCACTTTCCAGGATGATTGTAAATTGCATGTAATGCAAGTATGTACTAAATAAAATCATCTTTATTTCAATGAAAATTCTAAAAACTGGTAAAATGAGTTCTTCAAGGTTGCAGGATACAAGATCAACACACAAAACTCAATTATATTTCGGTACAGTGGACCCTTAACTATAAACTCAGTTCCGAAGGCTGATTGTAACTCAAGTTGTCAAAGGCTCAGTCTTCTCTGCACAGCCTTCCAAGTGCCTCTCTTGTACACAGGCGATCTCAGTGTCCTTAGACACTGGCCCAGGATTTCTGAGTTAACCCTATACAGGAAAGGACACTGTAATGTTCCTTCTAGAACTCTTTATGAGTTAAATCTATATCAGACCATCTGGAAGCACAAGCAGCTGGCATTCGGGTCATAACCAAGAGTTTGGTCATAAGTTAAATTCCAGTCATAACCCAAGTTGTTCGTATGTCAGGCCAGTTGTAACTTGAGGGTCCACTATGCACTCAGTATGATACCAAGTGAAAATTGGGGAACCGTTTCTGTTTACAATAGCACTACACAGAGGAAAATACTTTGAAAAGGTAAACAAGTTCAAAACTTATACTCTTAAAAGTATGAAACATTGAAAGAAATTAAACATCTCAGAGTCATTAGTCAAAAGACTTAAGATGCCAGTATTACTCAAAATGACCTTCAGACTCAGTGCAATCCCAGCAGTTCTAGCTAGCAAGCTGATTCTTAACATTTATATAAAAATTTAAGAAACATAGGAGAGCCATACAATCTTCACAAAAATTAAAATTGGAGGACTCACCTTGATTTCAAAACTTGCTCCAAAGCTATAATAGTGAAGACTTGTACTGAGATAAAAAGTAGCATGTAGGTCAGTGGGGTGGAATCAAGACACCAGGAATATGCCTTCACAGTAATCATCAACTGATTTTCAGGCCACACCCAGGTAGCTCAGTGGGGGAAACAGCAGTCTTTCGGTAAGTGCTGCTGGGACTATTGAATGTTCACATGAAGAGGGTGTGTGATCCTTACCTTTTACTGTATAAAACATGAAAGCAAAGTGGACCAGAGACCTAAGTATAAGAGCTAACACTATAAAAACTCTTAACTTTGGATTAGGCAAATGGTTTTCTTAGGTGTGGCACCAAAAGTATAGACAGAAAATTTTAAAATGGGTTTTGAGGAATCAACACGTGTTTCAAAGAACAGCATTAAGAAAGTGAAGAGAAGCTGGACATGGTGGCTCACGCCTGTAATCCCAACACTCAGGAGGCTGAGGCAGGAGGATCACTGCGAGTTCGAGACCAGCCTGGGCTGCAAAGTGAGCTCCAGGCCAGCCTGAACTGCATAGTGAGACCCTGTCTCAAAAAAAGACCAAAAAAAAAAAAAAAATGAAGAGATAATCATTAAGAATAGGAGAAAATATTTACTAATAATAAGGGACATATCTAGAAGGATTTGTATAAAAAAACTAACAATTCAGTAATAAAATGATAAGTGAGAGATAAGCCAAGTGTCTGAATACTGAAGATATTCAAATGGCTAATAAGTACATGAAAATATTTTTAACATCATGTAGCCATCAATAAAAATGACAAAATCAAAGGGATACTATTTACCATTTCACAACCAGAATTAAAAAGACAATAGCATGAATTGATGTGGAGAAATTGAAACCCTAACCTACTGATAGGAATATAAAATACAGCAGCCATTTTCAAAAAGGCTTAGACTGGATGATTACACAGAATCATAGCATAACCCACAATTTTCCCAGGCACTCACTTCTTTTCAAGAGAAAAGAGACCACATACACAAGAAATCTAAATGTTATATACTGCAAACATCTACCCAAAGGGGGTGGTCAAGAGATGGAGGGAGGGGACTAGATAGATATATAGATGATCTGTTATGTACAAGTACCAATTTGCCACAAGAGATGTAAACATTATGTACTAATAAAAAACATGCACTAACACCCATAATATTGTTCATCATAGCCCAAAAGTGAAAACACAAATTGCTCTGGAAGGGAGAAAACATGTATTGAGTACCACCTGTGTGCTAAGTGCTCAGCTAGTTTTTTCATAAAACATTTATCTCAATAATTCTATAAAGACTGTACTGCAATGTTCTGAATATTGCAGGGGAGGGTCCCATTAAAACATTTTCCAGGGATCTGATGATCATGATGGATTCACTCTGCACTATGATAGTTTAGGACCATCTATTTCAGGCAAATACAACAAACCTAGAAGTGTTCTTGAGGTTGTTTTGTTTTGTTTTGTTTTGTTTTGTTTTTTGAGACAGGGTCTCGCTATGTAGTACAGGCTGGCCTCAAATTAACCGTAATCCTCCTGCCTCCGCCTCCCAAGTGCTGGGATTACAGGCATGAGCCACCACACCTGGCTCTTGAGATTTTATGAGATGAAAATTTCAAAAATGTGCTGGGAGTGACTAAGCTGGATTCACTTTGCTTTAAAACTAATGTAGAGACAAATTTATGAGGTCTAACACCAGCTTTCACTTCCTCCTCCAGGACCTCTTTCATTATCCCAATTATACCAGTCCTTTTAAAAGCATGTATCCTAGTTCCTTGTTCATCTGGTCGTACTACTTGATGATAGACTTTTATCATAGGTTACTGTTTATATATTTGCTCAGTGCTTCATTGACTGTCTTGCCACTGAGGTACTCTGCTGAAATTCTGTCTCTAGCTACATGAATCTTACATCGTTTCTCCCTTGGGCCCATCTACTCAAGGCTTTGTAAGATCAGGCTGAAGTCCTTGGAGATTTTTCTTCCAGATTCACAATGAAGATAACTTTTTTATTTTGAATAACATGACTCAAGCCTTCTGTCAGACATGTCTAGCTTCAAGTTCTTTTCTGCCACACAATTTCTCTGTGGCTTTTTAAGTTTTCTGAGACTTGCTTATTCAAATATTTATGTGACCTTTACTATGTGTAAGCATTGTACTGACCCCTAGAAGTATATTGGTGAATGGTATCTTATCATCTGTGAATACCTATAGTTGCCACCGTGATATATAGGTACTCAGTAAATGATAAGTATGTCAGTTACCATCATTGGAAGGAGAACTTTCAGAATCCATTTTAAGATGAACACAGCCAAACACGGACCCTTGGGTAAAAATACAGACATCATAACGTTCTACTAGGGGGCAGTGGGAAAGTGGGAGATGAAGGCTGGAAAAAGAAAGCTCTTTATCTAGTTAGCATTGTAAAAATGATCTTAAAGGATGTGACATTTACAATAAGGTGATAATATTGAAAAAAGTAGTGTGCTTGCTCAAATAGAATTTGATAACTGATATATTACTAATTGAGTCAACATTTACTGAGCACGTACTATGTGTAGTGCTCTTTGGCTTTTCTGTGTGTAACAGCCAGCTGATGCTCTGGTGAACTTAAAACAACTTTGCCAGGCCACCCAGCTAGAAGAGGCTAAAGCTGGAACTACTTCATCAATACAGGCAATTTCCTGTACCCATACTTAACTCATTTCTTGCCTCAGACATCACCTCAAACTTTACCGATATTTTCACCTACTCCTGTTACTCGCTCTTCCCTGACCCTGCCATATTTTTCTTTAAACTTATCAGTATCTGACACTATGTTGGAGTATTTGTTTTTTCTATTGTTTCCCAAACCAGAATGCAGACTTAAAGCAAGGACTTCGTTCTTTGTGATCACAGAATTGTAGAAAGTACTTGGCACAGTAACTACTGGATGCTTGAGTCACTACTTTCTCTCTGGCAGCAGCTTGGGCTGTCCT